GACGTGGGGACCCCCCCCTCCCTGCTGGAGAAGGAGAGAGGGTGACCCCCCATACGGGGGGACGCTATAGCTACGGGCTATATACACACCCCTGGGGAGATGAGGGGGGCTGCCCCGGGGCTGGGTTGTGCTCAGAAGTGGCTCTTCCCCCCGCCTCCTCCCTGCCCCATAGCCCCCTCCCCACAGCTGGGCAAAGGTTTGGAGGGGGGAGGGGGAGTGGGATTGGGGGTCCCATGGGTGCCCCCCCCCCACCCAACTGGCTCTAGGAGTCCTTGAGCATGCTGATGCGGGCGTAGATCTTGAGGGCCGGCCCCAGTTTGATGTTCATGGTGCTCATGAGATGATCTTCCTTCAGCAGCAGCAGCGCCTGCCCGTCGATCTCCTGCGCCCTGAACTCCTCTGCAATCTCTTGGCAGCCTGTGGGGAGGGGGCTACGCTCAGCAAACCCCCCCCCAACCTCGAACCCCAAAAATATTGGTGGGGGTGTCCCCGAATATTCCTCACCTGGCAGCGAACGGATGAACTCGTAGACGTCCTCCACGTTCCATTTGCTGGGCTCGCTGGGGAGGAAGCGATGGCCGATGCTCGCCAGGTCCCGGACGTGGACGTCGGGCAGTTCCATCTCACGTAGCTCCAGGTCTCGCTCGCCCTGCCGTCGGCGGGATGTGGAGGAACTGGCCGAGATGGGGGAGAGCGGTTCCTCGTAGCTCGAATTATCCGAACAACGACTCGAATCTTCTTGGCTGTGGTTGAGCTGCAACGACGCCGTCACGGAAAGAGGCACCGAACCCGGCGGGATAGAAACCGGCGGCTGCGGGACGGAGCAGCACCGGCCTCAGAGCCCACCCGTGTTAACGCATTGCCCTGAATTTGGGGACGAATCCTGCCCGTCCCCTGCCCTCACCTGCTTCTTGGTGTCTTTGCTGAGGGTGGGTAACGTCCCCTTGCATGTCCGACGGCGGCCGTGGGGGGGACCGCCAGGTTTTTGCAGCTTGCTGCGATCGGGGTGGAACAAACCCACCCGCTTCGTGCACCCCACGTTGTACCTGTGGGGAGGGAAGGGGGTGAGGGACGGGGAGCGGGGGGTCCAGATCCTGGCAGGGGGGGCTGCGGTTTTTTGGGGGTTACCTCTTGGCACAAGCCATGGAGCAGAAGCGCTTGGAGCGCTTGAATTTGTAAGCGAAGTCGACGCGGCCGCAGAGCTCGCATTTCAGTTTGGGGGGGTTCCCCTCTTCTTTGGATTCTGGGGGGCGCGGAGGGACGCCCAGAGAGAGAAACACAACCAGCTCAGCCGTGGGGGACCGCCAAATTGGGAAAGTGGCGGGGGGGGGGGGGGGGCTCTACCGTACCCTGCTTGGTGAGGAAATCGTTTTGGGGGGGCCGGGCGCTACCTTGTAAATAGGGTTCCTCCATTTCGGAGTCGGTGGTGGTGGTGTTGTCCTGCTGCGGGAGTTTCTCAGCCAGCAGCTCCTGCGCATACTTCTTCTTCAGGTTCCCAACCAGCAATGAGGAGCGCCCCACCTGTGACAGAAAAACACTAGTGGGTGCTTCCCCCCCTGCCTCTCCCCCCCCCAAATCCAGCCCCACAAGGAGAAATAAAGATCAGGTTGGGGGGGGGGAAATACGTTACCGGGAACGGTTCTGCCCCTTCCTGGATGACGAAGCCCTCGATAACGTGGGTGAGGATTTGGGGTTTCACGATGGCCTGGGGCGGTTTGTTCTCACCATTGTGGGGGGCAGCGCCGGCGACGGTGGAGGCAGAGCTCCCGGTCCCCGAGGTCATGCCGGGAACGCTGGCGAGGGTCTGGGGCTGAGCATGAAGGCGGTCGGGGGGCGGCTCTGCGGTTGGGGGGGG